TTTTTTATTAATCTATTGCGATCGTAAACTATTCTTTTTTTGAATAATACCTGTTCCTGTGCTAAGCATCTGGAAGACTCAAAAAAAAGTCAGAGTGAAACTTATGACTTGAAAAGAAAATTACTTCTTAAAATCAATTGAGCAGCCAAAATGAAGCAAATAGATTCCCTTCTTCACGAGTGTTGAAAACTGTTATTATGCTGCTACTTTTGACTCAGATCTTACACCGGCCTCAGAAGCACATCACTTTGCAGATATTGCATGAGACAGATCCACGACAAGTTTGGACTTTTACGATTACATTATACTTTAATAAAATAATAATATCCAAACATTTTGGTATACCGCTGTTGTAGATCTTACAATATTACCACTGTGTAAGTACGCATATCTTTTTGCTTTTGGATACGCTGGAAAAGTCTCCGTATTCTGTGCTTAAGAAGCCGAAAAATCTCTGCAACCGTTTCAGAAAACAAAGGAAAGAGTATAAAAAGAAAAGTTTTAAACAGTATTTAAAGTTTTGTTTATCAAAAAAAAATTGGAATAGGAAATATTAAAGTTTGAAAAGAAGAAGTTTTATAGTACTTCATTTGCTCGAAAAAGGTTTGTTAGATGGCTATCCACGTTACTGTGGATGTTGAAACAATTCTCAAAACTCCTGAGTCAGAGGAAATTTGACGTTGAATACCGTACCGACTTGGTCGTCTTTTATTTTTGCTATAGTTGATCTTGCGTTTTTTCCCAGCCTTCAGTTCGTAAAGACAGTTTATTGAAAAAGTCAAAACAAACAGTTTGTTTTTTTTTTCGTTATTGTTGTTGTTTTTTGGATGAATACTGGCCAACAAGCAAAATAAATCTAACCAGAAAGAGATTTACCGGGAAAAATATGGAAAAGAGGGTGCCGAAGTGGAGGAGGGAATGTAAGGTGAGAGTAGAATCTGAAGAAAAGTCTGCAAAATAGCATGTGCTTAATTTTGCTAATTAGGAATTTTTTTTGAAAGTTGGAACTGAATTTTATAACAACTGAGGATGGCTGTTATTTGTCGAAAGAAGTTGTTGCTAGAATGAAGTTGGACTATTTGTAACATCAGAAGATCATTTGGATAAACTGCCTACTACTGTTAGCCTGTTGACGTTTGTATAGGTAGAACAGTAATTTTTCCTCCTATTTTTTTGATCTGTATTTTGTATCAAATATTTTGATATACCTGATCTATCATCAGCAAACGATAGTATTCGTTGCTGGAAGGATGTCAAAAAATTTTGCAGAAATTCATTTTTTTTCTGTTTCTTTTTCTTTTTTTTCTGCTTTAACAGTTTCTACTGTCAGTTTGTATGTGATAACAAAAGTTAAATAAAAAAGTTTACCAAATATTGTGTTAAAACAAACAAATTTTACTGAAGAGAAGAAAAAAATTTTTTTTACAACATCATAAATGATAAGGTGGAAAAAAAAAAAGGTTAAAATAATTTTGTAGGAATACGAGTGGGAGGGGGAAGAAAAAAATAAATGAAGCAGGAATATTGGAAAATGGTTATATGAATTAATGGAAAAATGGAAGAGAATTTGGATTATTTTTTTTTTTTTGGTTTTTTTTTTTTTTAAGTCAGTTATGAAGGCAGTGTAATTTGAAGCAAACAATCTACAAATATAAATGTTAGTATAAGCAAAAATCTATTAATAGATCGTTGCGCGAAGCGGAGTTTGTTGCTCTCGTCGGGTCGTTTTCGTCATATGATACGTCGTTACAAGAACATCATCAGTATTTCTCGCATATGGAGATCCTTGTTCAGAGCTATAAGTAAGAAAGAATACAATGATAATTTGATGCATAAATTTTTTACTGTTCCTCCTCTTCTTTTTTCAATAAAATAGAGAGCATTTCTAAAGATCTTTTTTGACTCACTAGGTTAATGTTATTTCATAGTCCATCATATAAGCCTTATTTGCTACACTTAAACAGAAGACAACAAAAGAGAAGTGTTGAAAGACAAAAAAGAAAAATTTGTCAATTTTGAATTTCCTACTTTTTTTTTGTGCCAAATTGATTAGTGTCATATTTCATGTAGATATAACAACTGAATAAATTGGAGACAAAAGAAACAGATTAATCGTCCATTCTGAGAAATTATGTTATAAATTTGAAGTGTTCATATTTGAATAAACCGGCTAACAGAGAGGATAACAGCAGAAAGCTGAGTGCAAAGCAAAACGATTATCAAACTTGTTTGCAATAGGCTTACGCGCTGGAATAATCGCTTGGCAATGATTTGGGGCTTATATCGTATTGTCGAGTTGCAGCGTGCTGATCGCCGTAGCCTGCCGAGCGATATGGCAACTGCCGTGTAGTTTCCTTTACACTTACTGTTAGTTCGTTTCCATAACGACGATCTTAATCAAACAATTCAAGTTAGTTGGTTATAGAACACTTAAGACGATATCCTAATGGTTATTCATCCAGTTGACAGTAGACTAGAATAATTTCTTCTTTTTTTTTTTCGCTGCTTCATTAAATGCTATTTTAGCTGAATAAATTAGTAATCATCTAAACAACAAAAAGAAAAAAAAAATTTTAATTTAGTAGAATAAATACATGAAAAAAAAAAAA